TAACAGTGGTGGTGTTATCCTATTACTTTTGTTGTCAACGTAATAAATAAGATAATATAAGTTATTTTCGAAAAAAAAATCCCAAGAACGAAAGGGCTAAAGTATGTTAATAACTATACACATTCAAACTTTGTATGTAGTAAGTACAGTAAAAGTTAACATTCTAAAAATAATTTACAAAAATAAATGTACTTTAATCCAAAGACGATAATATGTAAAACAATATGATACAACGCTGTATACAATTCATACAAAGGGCTTTTAGATGTTGAAAATATTAAAATAAATTAAAAAATGTCCATGCAATGAGATTGCAACAATATTCTTGTTTTAAGTGTTGTTTTTATGCAAAAATAATGTTTGTATTGTTATTTTTTCCGTTATAAAATCCAGTATTCTTACTATCATTATTTCAAATATTGTGAACATATTTAAATGTATTCGACATTGTCGGCAATTGTTAATATTTATTTACAGTGCGAATTTTGAGTGTTAGTCACAGGTATAACTTTCAATTTTTTTGTTCTCAGATGTTAATTTAACTTCCCCAGTACAATCGTGGGAAACAGATTTTAAATACCCATATATAGTGTGGGACACATACTACTAATACAATAAAATTTAACTTTTAAAATGATTTTGTAACTATTTTAAAATATAATAATCTACTAATATACCTATGCAGCAATTTTTCTTTCCAAAATGTATGGTAGTTTTTTCAATAACTTTAGTTTTAAATTTTTACTTAGTAGCTTAGTTTTTTATGCAACTTTTGTCGACATAATCTTATATAATCTTATTATCTTATATTCCTATAAAGCGTATCACTAGCTTTGTTTTATTATGACACACAAGTTTTTATTTAAACTTATGAAATTATAATTCAAGTCGTATTTCACAGTAGTTTTTAATCAAAGTCTTAACTAATTTCAAATATTTATAATAAATTATTGGTGAAAAGGTATTTAAGCTTTTAAAAGGTTCGAACCACAGAGAGAAAACTTTTATTATTATTTTTTTTTTGTGATAATAATTTTTCCAAATCCTTAAGACCACTTTTTTACGATTATTATCACTCTGACATTAGGATAAAATGCTTTTAAAAGCAAAGCTTAAACAAGGAAATAGAATTGTCTCATATTTTGTATAAATAATTCCATTGGGAAATAATACTGAGGACCCTGGGACAAAAGTCGTGTTATGATATGTGTGTGACAATGAAAAATTGTCATGAAAAAAGATTTTTATTTTTAATAAATAATGTACCTAGTCCATGTTCATTAGTCATTGGAAATCTCTGTACAAAACGCAAGAAATTCTTTATAAACACTACCTATACACAATACTAGTAAATATTAAGCTAATGTTTGGTGATGAATTTTTATTTTACATTATAATAAATTAGTGAGGTGTATTCAGTAAACTATAAGGGGGGAGAGTATCATAAATAAGTATAGGTAGGCCTGTTAAAATAAGTATTTAGATATTTTCAAAAACAGTTATTTTATTAGATCAAATTGTTGAAATTTTAGTTAAATTCGTGTTAGCCACAATTTCAGCTTCCTTTTACTTTCAAACAAAATTATTCTAACTATTAAAACAAAACAATATTATTCTTGGCTGTAACGTAGGACACATGTTTTTTGTTGAAGCTGGATAGGATTAAAGACTAACATTGTTTAATTCAAAAGATTTAAATTACTGACAGAAAGCATGTACATCATTTTTCATCAGCGTCCCTAGAAAACAATTAGTCATTTTAGGTAACAGGTGAAACGCACAGCAGGGCATAATCCTTAACAATTTCTGTTTTCATATATTATTGTTACATTTCCCATACCAGTTGTTATATTTTGAATTTTATCAGTTTTAATAATTTTATCAACAATATAATAGTTTATTACAGACAAATATAAAATACATTTAATGTTTAAATCAATCAATTATTCGCTAATGCAATGCGTTAAGTAACTTTGAATGTAAGTAACTTTATATACTCATTATTTTAAACTTCCTTTTTGAATCAAAACGAGTCTAGATAATGTTAAATCCATACGCAGAGTTATGGAAAATAAAAATCGACAGTTTTATACAACACAAAACTAGTTAGGGAACTAGTAAAATAAGAAACATTTGAGATCATTGATAATGATCTCATTAAAACGTTTAATAGTAAAAAAACCGATAGGAATCCACCGTCAAGACACACAGCAGCGAATATATTATACAATGCCATTTACACGCGCAAATAATTTATGTTTTCCAATTTAAAAAAAAAAAAAGCAATAACGTATTCAAATGCGAATCACTTATATGAGATATAAAACCTCTGAATGTGTTTTCACCTTTGAGGTCGTTGGAATCTTGCCAATATGCGATTCGCCGAATTATTTTGTTAACAGCTATTTGAAATGTATTAAATACAAAAAGTACTTAACATTTTCTTTGCTTATTCCGCCCCCATCAAAAAAACCTAAAATAATAAATTGAGAATATCTTTAGAATTTCATGTTTACATGTGCTGTATGGTTGTTTAAAAAAAAATCGAATAATAATATATTGTAAGAACGTTTTATTTTGGGGGAAAAAAAACAACATTTTCTCAACATTTTAAATGCAAACAACCAGATTACCAAATAACTTGAAAGCACAGCAAAAAGAAAAAAACATTTCCGGTCGGAAATGTTTTACATTTCTTGTTAAAAAGTAATGTGTTTTATAATGTGAAATAACAAATAAGATATTTTATAAGCCAGTATTTTTTTTCCGGTTTCATTTATTTTTAAGTATTATAAGAAGATAATATGTGTTTTTCAAACTTAATTTAATTAAAACAATTAAATGCATAGGACAAGTGTCGAGTTATAATGGTTTTCGATAGAGTTATCGCACCTAAGACATATTTTATGTAGGATAAATGTGCAATAGGTGGTAGTTTGTGAATGGTCTAAAATCTAAATAACAGACAGCACTCCATGTACAATATGATCTCAAATGAAATAACAGACTATTTTCCAGCGATACGAAAATTGGAAAGTTGAGTGCTGGCTTTTAGTTTAAAAAAAATAATAAACAAATTTAGGGCGGCTAATAGTAGAAATTGACATTGTCGCTATTTTCACTAAATTCGACCAATTGTGTGTACATTTTGTGTATGCTTAAAATATAAAACGCTTTGAAAAACTAATAAAAAAAAAAAAAAAAAGGTTTACAAGTCTCGCACGAAAGCGCAATGTAATGATTTGAATTTGATGGAGATCGTTAAGAAAACGCGGTCAAGTAAAGCTGTTGGTTAAAAGCGGCTTTTAAATTTTAGCCGTGATCGTAAATGATATATATTACATCGTCTTACGGAGAAAAAGACGTTTTATAGTGTCTCTCTATGGTACTTTCGCACAGCTGTTATCTTGCTTGGTCAACACTGGGTTTTGTAATTTCCTCTTTTATACGAACCTTCGTTGGCTGCTTTTAATGTCATAATTGCGTGAAATCGAAGCGAATGTCGAAGGATAGGTATGAATAAAATAATTGGTTATGAACAAAACTGATAGTTTCAATATAGCTGTGGTTGGGTGCGTTTCAGACGTGTACAAAATAGGGTTAACTTACCCTATTATGTATATTATCGATTGTTTTAAAAATACATGTTTTATATTATGAACAAATATTTTTTTTTTAAAACTATTTAAATAGGTAACCGACGTTGGTTGGGATAACGATAGCCTTTTACATTGTTTAATTAAAAATAAGAATCCGTTTTCTTAAGCTTCAGAAGACAAAATCAATGGCCGTACTTTTAGAAGTATTATTTTATTGGTTTTTAATGATAATATTTATTTAATAAAAAAAAAAACTATAATAATATTAGTAATAAAGGAATTGAAATTTTAATGCCTGATTCCCATGAACAATAAACGCGGTTGCGGAAACAATGGATCACACGTACCGCCTTTTCGGAAAAACCACTGAAGTATTTCTTTATTATTGATTTTTTTAAAATTCTTTATACATCTCTAGCAACCCTCGGTACATTTATTGTTTTCGTTACTTTAGGGTTTTTAAATTTTAGTGGTTCTTTGGTACAATATTTAAAATAAGATGAAACGAAGTCGCATGTAATATTCACTCATGCCTGGTTCAGAAGTATAAATACCATTTTTAAGGCAATCAGACAACTAGCGGTCGTTAACTACCATAAGAATAGATTTCCTAACAAGTCTGTCAGTTGAGTATAAAAGTATAACAGTGGACCCGCCATCGTCAAAATGAGGTGGATCAGCTTAAATGTTCCTTGACTTTTTATCTCATTACTCCATAAACTATGAAAAGTACTATTATGCAAAAACCACACACCTAACGTTTTTCTTCATTTGAATAATACAATACAAAAGGCTATCAAGTAATAATATAGCAATCAGTAAAAATATCTCGTAGCCTCTCCTAACAAAACAATTACATTAAAACCTTGTAAGATATAATTTACAGTATGTATAACGGGTTAAAACAAAAAAAAAACCCTCGTAGATTTTTTTTAGTAAATTCGAAATTGCATAATAATTGCACAGTACTATTGTTAGAATAGGGAATGTTGAATAAAATACTTACTCTATCTATTTAAACTCGGTGAAATCTGTACAATTCTAAGGTTGTGCTTATGGACAAGAATAATAACGTACCGTCGCCCTTTCATTCCGGTAAAGTACTTAAACTAGCATCTAGCTCAACACGAAATGGGTTCGGAGATCTGCAGAAAACGTTTATAGAAGAGCTTGCTACTTTTATTTTGTAAGATATTCAAACGAAACAAATCTCCTTATTTATGATACAATTTCACAGAGAGGACAACACCCTCTCGAAAACCTTTTTCGCTCTGGTTTTGTTTAGAGGTGACAATTTTTCGCGGTTTGTGTATGCATACACGTGCTAGGGTGAAAACGTTTATACGAGCAATGTTTTGGGTCAACCAACGTAACCTAATTTTTATTTTTTGTTTGTTTCAGAATGTTCATCGCAACCGTCAAATTGAAGCAAATGCAAAGAAAAACGCACCCTTTCTAGATTGTCTTAGCTCTACACTGTTTGTTTTATGAATTTTCTCCCTATTCTCATTGATCTGTGTCTCGATGTTGACGTCAACAGGACGGAATCAAGATTTCATGTCTTAGTGAAAATCAGAACGAAAAGAAATATATATATATTTTTTAACGCAATATAAAATAAACAATAAACAGAGAAAAGATAGAAACGCTCACGGTGAGGTGGAATCAAAGAAATTCATAAGGATATAAACAATACTGTATAAGTAACGGGTATTAAGTTGGAAAATTATACACGAGGGGTGCGTTTTTTTATTGCACTTATAGAGGATGTACTCAGCTAGTGTGACTGCAATAACATTTATGGTGGCCGCATTCGCCGTCAGTCCACTCCAGTCTTCCGAAGGTAAGAGTTTATAATAATAATAATAATATTTTGCAAGGTCTAGTCTAATAAATAACAGGATTTAGTGGTCTATTCTGTACTTAAACATTGTGCATAAATTACCGTGCTCATTCATTTTACTTAAACTAGATTATACTTATACTTAATTTTTCGAAACTAATCTGGATTGCATTCCACCAAGCCGAACGTTACAGCCAACTGTGAAGTACAAGCTAAATCCTATTGTGATTACATTTGAATTATCATTAGCCAATATATCACTGTTCGTATTCATTATGTCTTCAACGGCGTGGAAAACTTCACTTTTATTTTAACACGCCTCATTAACAAGTTTTGACAAAGCCTTATGCTATTATAGCGCCGAAAAGACCGGAGTAATTTTCTTTAAAAAGAAAAACTTTTCACCGGTTTTTTAGACTGAATTAAATTTCACATTCTGCTTACCAACTACTCGTTACTGTCCTGCCGTTTTGAAGTTAACAAATGCGCGCCGTCGTTTCTCACAACATTTATATAGGTCGTCTAATAAGTTTTATCATTGACTGAAAAGTAGGTACAGTTAGGTTAGAGCATCACAAAACAGACGCGTGATTTTAACAATGGTTTTAGAGCAAAACACGCTTATCATTATCTCGAAAGACGGTGACATTTTAGAGTCGATGGCATGTCCTGTTTTCAATTTATTCGTTATTTTGTCTTGATGTTTAAAAAAAACCATCAGTTAGAAAACACCTTGTCAGAGATAATAACGTTAGTCGGTGTTACCTGTAAATATCACGCGGAAAGCTACATGATGACGTTATGAACCTTCGTGGCTCACAATAGAATATAATATGTATACAACATATTTACACGGTAATATGTTTTCGGCTAAGAAAATTGCCGCTCACTTTTCATAATAACTCGCAGAGACCGTTCGCGGACACGATAATACGTTCTTGTCATTGTTCGGTTTTCCCCAGGCGACCATACTCGGGTTTCTGTCTATGTGTCCCTCCTGACGTCTATCTGAATCACTCGACCGAGGAGAAACATTTGTCCGGACACGGTATTAACTAACCGACGCTACCCGTGCCATCCGCGTGGGCGTTGCCGGCTTCTCCGGCTAGGTTTGCCGGTTAATTTGCACAAACACACATTGTCTACATCGTCTCCGCCGTGTGGTTTTTTAAGACCGCCGCAGCCACAAACAACAGCCGGAGACAAGCGGGGAGGGGGCCCGGCAGCGGATCGCCACGGAAGGACATTTTCGGGTCCGCTCGACAACATATTATGGCCTCGAGGAGGATATTATATTCGCCATGCAACTGCTCACGACGAGGTCGTCGGGCGCTGCTGCCAGGCGGATTTGCCGGCAAATTTATTGCCGATAAGTTTGGCCCTGGACCGGCAACGTTCTTGGCACAAAACAAGATTCGGCTGCCAACAAAAGTACAAAAGTTTCATTAAAGATAAAGAACCACCACCACCACCACCACCCCTCTCAAACTTTACACTTCACAGTAATTACCATCGAACGCTGGAATTTATATACAATATATATATATATATACTCGTGTTGAAATAATAAATGGGCCTGCGAAACGTATACCGCGAGAGTGAGAGAGCGGCGGACGGGATCATTACCGTCCACTTCTTCCCCGCAAATGCATCTTACGCGTATAGCATTTGATCCAGGGTCGCGGCGGTCCTAGAAAATTGCATCACGGCAAACGCCTCTGAACTAACGTAAAACGTGATTGTCCCTTTTGGTTCCGACTTAGTAGGCACCGTCCGTGTACACCAAGAACACCTTGTAAGTTTATGTTTTAAGCTAAAAACGAAATTTTCTACTCAAACCCGACTTGAGGCGTAGTGTAATTTTTCGATTTGCTCTGTTCTCACGGAGCGTTATCATTCTCCTGTACGATGTAATTTGTATACGTTTTGAAAACTAATAAATCGTGCCTCGTTTTCGTTTGAAAATTGTTCATATTTATGCCGGGCCGCACGAAACTTAATTTGTTCCATAAACCGAGTTAGGATCAATCACAATGTGCTACCGAGGGCATATTATGGAACCAATAAAGCTTGCGTGCAACTCTGCATTACAATATGTACACATCATACAAACGATTGTAGTTAGTGGTTCGGTACTTTGATTTGTTTATATGTTGAGGCCCATTCTAATTGTAGTATTTCTTTATCAAGCAGTCGTGTGCATTTCACATTTGTAAACAACGAACACGGTTTGAGAAACAGCCATATGAAAATCGCACCAGACCTAACCCAACCGTAATACGGTTTTGCGTTTTGACCGCGTATCATCTGGTTCATTGTTCAAAACTCTGGCCGTATATACGATCTGACTGATCATTGCTGATAAAACTTATGTAGTTCTGTGCGACCTTCGCCGGGGGTACATCCTGTACCCGTGTGAACTGTGAAACAAAACATATTATTGTGTCGGCGGTAATGCCGGTATTATGGCGTTGATCATTCATTGTGCGACCAGAACACGGAGGGATGGTGATTTCATAGAGAACATTTTCATCGTGTACACGCATTGAACGGGGTGCCGCATAATAATAATAATAATAGTTTTAGTTAACTAAATCCCGGAGTCACGTAAATTATTTCTCCAGGGGTGTTGCCCGGACGACAATGAAACTATGATAGCGCGAACTGTCGAATTTACAGTATATTATATTGCATTCGCGTCAAAACTTTCTTAAGATTTCCCGAGTATGAATAATTTATGAAGTGTAACAACACCATGTGCATTGTTGTATCGGTTCAGTAAAGATGTTTCCGTTAAACGCGCACCAGACATTATCGACGAGTAGTGGTGGTTCAATCGCAAGTCGGTATAATAATACAATACCCAAGCTTGTATTTGTACTCCAGCTGAAAGAAAAGAAAACAAACCTTCGTTAGGATGTTTCGTAAAAATGCGTTTTAATGATAATTTAAAAAACAATTAGTACGTGAATTAGTTGTGAATTGCCATAACAATAAACAGCATGGCCTAATACTAGTATGATATGAACAAAACAATCCAATGCGCATCTACATCTACTCTTCGCAATAAAGCTGGAATAACGTTTTAAAAATTGGTTTTTAAATTTTTATTCAGCATAAAGGTGGCCTCGAATAATACCGTAATAGTTGAGGTATTGATAATATCATTCTAAACATTATAATTCACATACCTTTATTTTACAATACATTTATTACTGTTCAAATAATCTGGCTATACTAGGTAAATTAATTATGTACATATAAATAAACGTTTTGTAAAGTTTTATAAATAAATATACTATTAATTATTTTTGCTATAGTAAAACAATGTTATTGTTATTCAATCATGTAAGCGCACTGCGCAACATGTAGACAATATTTGGCGAAAAATTATTTTTAATCATTTTCGATCATGTCACTTTATTTTCACGTTAATTTAATATGTTAGTTCCAAGGTATAATACTTGACTTTTACAATTTTTTAACAAGTTATAGTAATTTTGGTAGTTAAGCAATGATTTAATAGGAAAAATAAAACGATTCCTTGAATCGATGTTAATTCATTTTTGTTTTTAAAATACCTCCCGAGTATTTTTTTTTAGTTATCAAAAATGACAAAAATTAAAGTTTAAAGAAATAAAAAAAAGTTGTAATATTGAAAGTCTAATAACGGCAATTAAAATGCAGTTTTAAAAAGCGAAAATCTACGCCAAATGTAAAAAGTTACATTAAAAAAAAATTTCAAAACATAGTCTACAAATCATCATTGTATTTTCCGCAAAATATTCCTCTATTTCTGAACTGAAACGTTGGTAGAAAGTCTGTTATGTTTTTCGTTAAGTCAAAAATTTGACTTATTATAATATTATGAAACAATTTAATATTGTGAGCTCAAAGATCAAATATACACTGGAAACCTATTGTTTTTTATAATAGTTATCAACGTTATCTTCACAGAATTCATTACCATTACTATAACCTAGTTAAGTTAATTTATGCTGCTCGACAATAAAAAGAACTTTAATCAAATTTTACCTTTGTACTTTATTATGGCCGACTAAACGTTTATTTACTTATTGTATTATTGTTGACCCGAATTTAGACTATTATCAAACGGTCAAAGGGTTAAATTGTTCTACGGTTTCGTTTAATTATAAATCGTATTCAGTTATTGTTGATTCTAAGACGGTTTGTGTAAGAACACAATAAGTATCAAAAAATACGCCAGTTGGACTTAAATCAATTATTTGGTAACACAAATTTTAGTAATAACGCGTGTGATCTATTTTAACATAAACCACTGTTAATATTTTTGTGATAACACAGTTACGGTAATAAATTCATAAAATATCTGCAACGTTAATAAAGACTTTAAAATTTATGTTTTTTTTAAAATAATTACTGCATTTGAACTTTATTTGTGCGAGAATGAAGAATACGACAAGTAAAGAGAAGACAATTTTACATAATTTTTGTGTATTATGTCAAAATATTTTCTTTAAAATGCCATTACTAAATTGTAGGATCACATCAATTATTTATGTAAATATGAATGAGAGCTCTCGTGATGTACTGTACCTATTTTTTTATTGTTATTTGTAGTCCGTTTACATAAAAAAAAAAACAGTTTTTATTACATAGGCGTGCCCAAATTGAGTTTGAAAAATGTAATATTATGTAATTACCTTGACTTCGATATTGAAGACTTATAGTTTTAATTAGGGATAGTGCTTGCAAAAATTAATATAATATAGTTCAATTGGAATGAATGTAGCAAATTATGAGTAAAAATACGAAAGTTTTACTATATGTATAGTTTTAGGTTATAAAAAAAAAATGATCATATTTTTTGCCATCATAATAATAATTGTCTACTTGTTTACTTTTCTTTATATTCCCCGGAGACATCAGACACGTTATTGGTCACAAAATGTGGGCGAACTGGCAATAAGACGTTTTTCGTGTTGCCGTCCTAACAGTTATAAATCCTTATAACGAGA